GATTCTCAGTTTCAGTGAGTTTAGCGAGGACTTAGCCTCTTTCATACGTACTACCCTTATAGGTCCTCCTTGGCTTCGACAAAATAACCAAGTTGGGAATATGGCTCTGGATTCTATTGAAATGTGGTTCGGGTTCTTATCCTGGGATGTGATAATATCTGGTATGCGACAAAAAGATGTTAGGATTTACCCCTACCAACCTCAACTTTTTTCGCGACAATTCAGGCTTTGTTAGATGAAACCTCTTCCCCTTCGACGAAAAGAAAGTATAGATGCAAATATCTGTGTCGAGAAAGGGAATTATGAGGAAGTTTTGGATTTTATTCTGCGCCCTGAGAAACAACTTAACCTCACACCTTGTTCTTTTTCTCCTTCTTTCTTAGTCTCTAAATGTTTTCTTCGTTGGTGGTGTGAGTACTATGTTGACAAAATTCTCGACTTTGATGAGTTTTTGAAGAAGCTGATTAATTCTCCCCTTTCTTCGCAGGGTCCAAAACAATAAGGTACTTACAAGAACCAAACTATTATTTATCAATTCGAGCAATTTTTTAAAGTTTGCTATCGACCTGATAACATTAGTCGAACCATCTTTGATGCGTCTGTCTCTTTATCGAAAATGGTACAAAGGAACATCCGCTCGAAAAAGGTGATTAATCCTCGAGGAAAAACTGATTTTGAAAATTTTTGTCCTAAAAATATTCCTTCTCTTCCAAATGCTCGTTTTGGTTTAGTTAAACATTTATCTCGCCCCCCTTAGGTGAAGACACTTGACCCGTTTTACCTTGAGCGCAAAGAGATTCCTGTAAAGGATCGAGTTACCTATGCGCGATGTTCCATGTACGATTTTCCTCGAAGGAGATGGTGGCCAATGTGTTTGGTCGATAATACTAATCCTCCTCCTGGTAAATGTCTTTATCTAAAAACAAAATTGTCGAATTTCATTTTATACTTATCTCATCTTTTGTCTCTGTTATGTAGTTTCTATTCCTCAACGTGTTCCTCAACATGTTGAAGAAACTCCCAACTGGGAAAGTGATGAGGATGATAATAAGGGGTCTTCATTGAAGACTCGAAAAAGAAAGACTGCTTCTGACAAGGTTTTCCTATGCTCTAAGGTACAACTCTTTCGATCTACCCTTTCAATCAAATTTTTGGATTTACTTCACATTACCTTCTCTGATTCTTCTCCTATTTTCAGAGTCTCGAACCTCAAAAAAACAAAAGGCCGATTCAGCAAGTGCTAAGACTGTGAGTAATTCATATTTGCCCTTACATTCTCTCTCTCTATTTGTAGGTCTCGACCACAAGAAAATTTTTTATTCTATTTTCAGGTTTCGACTACGAAAAAGCCAGATAAAGGGAAAGGGAAGTTAGTGATTCCTCTCCCCAAGAAGACTCAAAAACCTCCCGTCGAGAAACTTCTTAAGGATGCTATGAAATCTATCCCCAAGGTATTTCAACTTTCAAACTCGATTTCTAGTTTAACTTCTCGCTTTTATATTGCTTCGATTTTCTAAATTTCTTCTTTATCTACAGGATGTCGAGATAATCCAACTCAATTCTTCTCGGGAAATGTCTATGGATATTCCCCCTCTTACTGGGGCGTCTCAGCAGGTTCGGTTTTCTTCAACCCTCACTTTTCTATACTTTTTACTTTTTCCTTATTCTAACTTCATCATTTTTTGCAGTTGGCCACTCCCCAATTGAACATTGTCGAGATGGCCTCGATGATGGCCTCGATAGAGATTCCTCCTCAAAGTGATGAGGGGAAGGTCCCTTCATTGGAACCTTTGGTGAACACCACAAAAACTCCTCGCCATTCCTCCTAAGATGAAGCTCCTTCTTTCGAGCTAAAACCTCCAATTAGTCTGAATCGAGGTATATCTCTTTTACTTTCTATTGATTGTCATAAAGTGCTATGTCTTTCTTAGTTACTCCTTTTTCCTTATACAGATTCAACTGAGTCTCCAAAGCCCTTTACTCCTTCTCCTTCGACCCAAGGTGGTCTCGAATCTTCGACACCAGCACTTGCTTCGATCCCTTCAACTGATTTGGACTTAATCAGTTTTTTCAATGAAGAGGATGAAGAAGTCAACAACATTTTCGACGTTCTTGACAATTGGACAAGTGGTCCTTCTACCTCGGAAAAGGCTCCTGAACAAGTTTCTGAGTCAACTCCTGCTTTCCAACTTCTGCTTGAATCTTTCAGGTCGAAGGCCTACGTAGAGGACCTCGATCAGGCATTCCTCATTCCAGAATTTAAGATCGAGGTCGAGCAGATGGTGGAGGATTTGTTGGCTTACTCGGACCTTCCTCCTAAGATTCACCTCGAGCTCCAAGAATTTATCAAGCCATTTACCCTCGCTTGGGATCTTTGATCTAAATGGTCTTCTGCATTTCAAGAAGTGGCCCACATTGAAGTCGAGAGCGAGGGAGATCGTGCCAGACTCGAACATCTTTCACAGGAATTGCTTTCTATCATAAAGTCTACTGAGGAGATGATTCCTGCTCTGAAGAAATTACAACAGGAGGAAGCGGATGTCGAGAAATCAATTGAGGCCCTGCAACATGAGCTGAATAACCTTCACTCCAAACAAACTGCTCTGAAAACTCAAAGTCAAGAGGTTATTCAGCGTCAGAAGAGCCTCAAAGAAGAGGGAAAGGTGATTTCTTCAAGACTTGCAAAGACCCTTGAGCAGAAGAAACACCTGGAGACCCAGTGCACTTCTCGAAAGAAGAGCTTGGACAAAGCCTATCAAGCTTATCAAAGTTTTAAATCCAAGTTTTGTAATATTTAATTAAATTCTCAAACCCTGATTTAATTTTTTTTTTTAGGTTTATGTTGGATGTATGCTTTAATATTCTGACCTTTTATGAAAACATTTCAAGTATTTCCCATTAATCACTTTACTTGCTGCATTCGAATTTATTTCTTTAATCACGTATGCGTTTTTCGAGTATACTTGTTCGATTATAAAGGGACCTTCCCAATTATAAGACCACTTTCTTAAGTGTCGAGATTTTTGATCAATGGGAAGAATCACTTTCAACACTAAGTCTCCAACTCGAAAATCGCGCACTTTGACTCTTTTATTGTATGTTTTCTCGATTCTTTCCTTTTGTTGAACAAGATTTTGTAATGCTATCAACCTTTCTTCCTCTAAAGATACTAACTCGTCATACATTAGATTCCAATAATCCTCGATAGGCAAGTCATTCTGTTTTTGTATATGAATTGATTGTAAATTAATATCTATAGGAAGAATAGCCTCATGCTCATATACCAGTTTGTATGGGGTAGTTTTTGTGGCATCTCTTGGTAAATTTCTATAAGCCCACAATACTTGGACAAGTGTTTCGTGCCAATTTCGAGGTCTGCTCGAGATATGTTTCTTAATTAAACTAATAACTATTTTATTAGCAGCTTCTACTTGTCCATTTACTTGTGCATAATACGGTGTCGAAGTCATGAACTTAATTCCCCTCGATTGAGCATATTGAGCAACTTTTCGCCCTGTAAAAACTGTGCCTTGATCAGTGGTAAGTTTTTGAGGAATCCCAAACCTTGTTATAATATGATCTTCGACAAAATCAATTATGTCTTTTTGCTCGACTTCCTTCAAAGGAATTGCCTCAACCCATTTTGTTAAATAATCTATAGCAACTAATATATATTTATGATTTTTCGAGGAGGGTGGATGAATTTGCCCTATTATATCAATTGCCCAACCTCGAAATGGCCAAGGTTTAATAATCGAATGTAATTCACTTGCTAGTACCCTTTGTATTGGTTCATGTCTTTGACATTCCTTGCAGCTCTTTGCGAATTCAATGCAATCTTTAATCATGGTTGGCCAATAGAAACCTTTTCTCGACAAGGTCCACTTTATCTTTTCACTTGCTTGATGTGCTCCACAGATACCTTCATGTACTTCTACCATAACTATGTAACTTTCATGACTCCCGAGGCATTTGAACAGAATCCCATCGAAACCACTTTTATATAATTCATTATTTAGCAAGACATAATTGAGGGCTTGGAGTTTGATTTTTCTTTCGACTTTCAAATTTGGATTTTGCAAGTACTCGACCAATTCCTTCCTCCAATCTTGCTGGCTCGATGAGCAGCTCGAGTCTTGAATTCGATTAGTTTTTCATTCAAACACTTATATTCCCGAGTTAGTTGTTTAATGACGAGTTGTGAATCTCCTCGAATTACCACACTCCTAGCACCTAACTCTTTAAGGATCTCGAGTCCAGTAATGAGCGCTTGATATTCAGTTTCATTATTCGAGTATCCTTTGTTCATTTTTAATGACAATTTAGTTGGAATTCCTTCGGGGGAAATGATTAACAAACCTATCCCAGTGCCTAGTTCATGTTTCGAGCCATCGAAAAATAATTCCCAAGGTTTGGTGGTTAAGCAATTGATTTCTTCAGTTATTTTTTAATGATCCGCGAGAAAATCCGCAATTACTTGTCCCTTTGTGGATTTTAAAGGATCGAAAGTTAATGAATATTCAGTTAATGCAAGTTCCCATTTGCCAATTCGAGAATGTAAGGTTTACTCAACATGTACTTAATAACATTACTTCGACAAAATACTACAACATCATAGGGTCTAAGATAATACTTCAACTTTGTACAAGCAACATAAAGACTTAAACATAATTTCTCTAAAGGAGTATATCTATTCTCAACTCCTACTAACATTCGACTTAAGTAATAAATGACTCTTTCGATGCCATTGTCATCATCTTGCGCCAGCATGCCCGCAATAATCGAATCGTTAGCTGAAATGTACAACTTCAATTGTTTTCCTTTATAGGGTGGTGCAATCACTGGAGGATGAGCCAAATAAGCTTTGATTTCATCGAACGCTGTCTGGTGCTCTTCTTCCCATCAAAATTCCTCCTCCTTTTTCAGACGCAATAGAGGAGAAAACACTTTAGTTTTGCCAAATAAATTCGATATGAATCTTCTAAGAAAGTTTACTTTACCTAGAGAGATTGAAGTTCTTTCTTGTTCGATGGAGGTGTAGTTTCCATGATAACTTTAGTCTTGTTTTTATCCACTTCGATCCCTTTCTGGTGTATGACAAATCCCAGAAAATCTCCTGCTGTAACACCAAATCTAACTGAAATGTACAACTTCAGTTGTTTTCCTTTAGAGGGTGGTGCAAGCACTGGAGGATGAGCCAAATACGCTTTGATTTCATCGAACGCTTTCTGGTGCTCTTCATCCCATCGAAATTCTTCCTCCTTTTTCAAACGCAATAGAGGAGAAAATAATTTAGTTTTGCCAGATAAATTCGATATGAATCTTCTCAGAAATTTTACTTTACCTAGGAGAGATTGAAGTTCTTTCTTGTTCGATGGAGGTCTAGTTTCCATGATAGCTTTAGTCTTGTTTCTATCCACTTCGATCCCTTTCTGGTGTATGACAAATCCTAGAAACTCTCATGCTGTCACATCAAAAGCACATTTTAGAAGATTCATTTTTAGACCATGTTTCCTCATTCTCTCGAAAGATAATTTTAAATGGCATAAGTGCTCCTCCTTTCATTTTGACCCAACAATTATATTGTCAATATACACTTGTACAAACTTACCAATTAAATCATGGAATATTAAATTCATTGCCCTCTGATATGTGGCACCTGCATTCTTCAATCCAAATGGCATCATCACCTATTCATAAACGCCTAAAGCACCTGGACATCGAAAGGCAGTTTTCGATACATCATTAGCTGCAATATAAATTTGGTTATATCCAGAATAACCATCGAGTAAACTCATAATTTCGTTACCTGCAACAACATCTATCATAGTCTCAGCAATAGGCATAGGATACTCATCCTTGGGTGTAGCTGTGTTGAGATCTCGAAAATCAATGCATACCTTGAGTTTTCCATTCTTTTTTATGACGGGCACAATGTTCGATATCCATTCAGCATTTCTCGAGGTCCTGATGAACTTGGCTTTCAATAACCTCTAAATTTCTTCTTTTATCTTTTCAATTACCTTAGGAGCAAACCTTCGAGGACTTTGCTTAACTGGTTTCTTTCCCGGAATCATAGGTAATCTATTCTCTACTAATCCTCGATCCAATCCCAGGATTTCATCATAATCCCATGCAAAGTAGTCTTTATATTCGTGCAACACTCGAATTAATTCCCCCCTCATCTTTCCTTGCAAGAGTTTGCTAATATAAGTAACCTTCTTATTTTCGACAGTACCCAAATTGATTTCTTCGAGTGGGTCTTGAGATTCTAACTTGTGTTCTTCATTGGTTGCCCTTTCGAATCCCAATGATGAATCGTCAAAAATACAATCTAACTTTAGTTCTGACTCTTGCTTTTTGTCTGCTTTCAAAGTCTCGACCTCTTGGTCCATTCTATCATTTTCTATTTTTTGTTTTTCTTTTTCTTTCTCGACCTCTTGGTCCATTTGATCTTTCTTCGTTATTTGTTTTTCTTTCTCTTTCTCGACCTCTTGGTCCATTCGATCTTTCTTTGTTTTTTGTTTTTCTTTTTCTTTGGCCAAAGTGGCCATATTACTTTCACCATCTCTAGATTTCTTTGACTCTTCTTTGTCTTTACATTCTTCGGCCATGTTGGCCGTTCAATCGGCCATGTTGGCCGACATTCGAGCTAAAAAGCTCGAATAAGGATCCTGATCCTTCATTCTTCCTCTTGAGCCGATTCTTTCTCGGCTCGAATAACAAAACCTATTTTTACGTCCTAGAAAAATATTTTCCTGACACCTTCTTCTTCATCCATGATACTAGCATTATGAGCATCGAAAGGCTTAGTCTTTGCAAACGCAGTCAACTGTTGATCTGCAAAATACATGCCCACTTCGTACTCCTTCTAGTCAGCATCAAGTACTTCCAAACCTTCATCATCATTCCAAAAAAAGATCTTCTGGTGAACAGTCGAGGGAACAACTCCTACTCCATGAATCCATTCACGCCCCAATAAGACATTGAAATTCGCCTTCGATGGAGTTACTATGAACATAGTAGTTCTTTTCACACTTCCGATCTGTACATCGAGCAAAATCATGCCCTCGGGTTGTGATGACTTCCTTGCATAATCTGAGATACGTATGTTATGGGGCTTTAAATCAGCCAAGGTCTTTCCAAATCTTTTCAGCATGGTCCTGGGAAGTATGTTTATCGCTGCTCCTCCATCAACCAAAACCTTGTTAACCTCATTCCCCTCAATCATCAAAGTTAACAACAAAGGCTTAAGATGAGCCTTCATATCTTCAGTAGGGGAGTCGAACACAGCTGAGTTAAACTTGGGAATGACCCTCAAAATTTGATTGACCCACACAATTTTTGACTCATAGTTAGGATCTTCGAAAAAATCCTCTCGATGAATATCCTCCTGCTCGTTCACAGATTCCATGGCCCCAGCATACTCAAAAGGCAAGATTGACACTATTCCGCAAATGTCTTCCAAAGAGTCATCGAAACCACTCTCGAAACAATCAGTTATCAGATCTTCATCATCCTCCATGAACTTATGAGACGACTCACACTTTTGTGGCACTGGGATCGAAAAACAGTTTCCTCTGAAACCTTCAAATGTAGCCTTCCTCATCCTCTGCTGTCTCCTCTACTGGGTCTTAGTCAAATTGTTAAAAGGTTGTCAAAAACCTCGTCCAAAGCCTCCAGACATGCTCGAGAACATCCCAGGAACCCTAGAGGTATTCGAGAATTCTCCAGGAACTCCTTCGAATGTAGGCCCAGCATAATTCATGACTTTTTTTCCTCGCCCCATTCCAACCATGTGCCTTGGTGGAGCATTCCACTTTCCCACTGGGACATTAGCATTTGGCACAAAAGTATTGCCAAACCTCGATGAATTATGCATCTCCATCTTTCCCATTGGAGCATTATATTGAGGCATATGTACCTGCCTCATTGTCAAACCAGTGTTCGACCCAGTATTAGGTTTACCTTTTTCTCGAAGTTTCTCAGCTTTATAGCTTTTCATGACCTCTGACTCTTTGAAAGCCTTAGCAGCAGCTCTGTCGAATACAACACTGCATCGAGGACACAACATGACTTCTCTCTCAGCATCCTTTTTCTTGGATAGGAATTCGACCAGACTATCTCCCTCTTTTGGATAGATTGGCTCTTCTTCTTTAGCAAAGTCATCCATCAACTCCTCGAGTTTTTCATCAGAAATAGGCTCAATATTCTCATCATATTTGATGCTAACTTCGACCATATTAATTCCCATCGAGACTGGCTCCATATATCCCGTATGAGCTGCAAATGGGTCAGTGTCCACTTTCATATCCTTTTCCTCGAAAGCTAGGCGACCCTCAGTGATCGCTTTCTCGATCATATCCCTGAAACACACACAATTATTAGTCCAATGGCCATACTATTATGATATTTACAAAATTTCTTCCCTTTTCTTTGTTCGAACGGAGGAATTTTATGGTTATCTAAGAGTGCAATCTGTCTGTCCTTTAATAAAATATCAAATATTTTATCGGCCTTAGTCACATCGAAACTATATCGCCTAGTTGTACTCCTTTCTATATTATCTCCTGTTTCAACATTTGACATTGATAAGTTGTGCTAGGACGCAATTCAGTTATGTTAACCTTGAAATCCTCACTCGAACCCTCACAATTAGCATCCTCACCTATTTCTATGTTTGTGTTTTCTAAATAGGCTACCTTTTGTTTTTGAAGAAATCTGTCAAACTTCCTTAACCTCTCTTTCTCTAATTTAATTTGCTCGATCCTCCTTACTTTCTCTGCTAACTGGGCCATATCTCTTCACTGTCCATTGACTAATTTTTTACGAATTGAGAAATCTAACCCTGTTGCAGCAATCTTAACTAATTCGTGTTCAGGTATATTAGTATAACATCGAGATTTTAACTGCCTGAACCTATTTAAATAGTCGTATAATGTTTCATGGTTTTTTCTTTTAACATTCATTAAATCAACTATACTAACTTTTGTTTCTCCCTGAAAGAAATGTTCATGGAAATTACCTTCTAATTGAGCCCAAGTATTTATCGAATTAGGAGACAATGTTGTAAACCATGTAAAAGCATGCTTAGTCAGCGAACTCAGAAAATATTTCATTTTTAAATATTTATTGTTCGCTAAATCTCCATATTCGACTAAATATCTAGCTATATGTTCGAAAGTGGACTCATTCAATTCTCCGGCAAATTTTGAAAATTTCGGGACTTTTGCCCCCTAGGCAATTCTACCTGAGTTATATAATCTGGAAAAGCAGACACAAAATAAGGACGTTCATTTCGACCTACCTCGAAACCATGCCTGTTTAGTACTCTTTCTACAATTTGATCTAAGTTATCATCAGGGATCCTATTAGGTCGACCTACGTTTTGGGGAATAACTCCATTCCCACCTAGATTCTCCATATCATTTAGATTTGCACTCATGGCTCTCGAAGGTGGACCATCACCCAATTTATCTCCTATTTTGTTTATCAATTCATACAAAGGAGTCATTATGTTATGCATTTGGGTTGACAACAAATTGACCATGCATGTCATGATTACTATGGTCCATCTGTTGTCGAAAGGCCATCATGGCTTGATTACTAATCCCTGTGGGGACATAACTACTCTGTCGAACCAAAGACCCTTCGTGACTTGTCCCTACGTGTTGATACGAGTCTTGCATAACAAAACCCAAACCATTTGGACCGAGATTATATCCCTGTGGGGATACATGCATTTGTGAATTTGGTCCTAAATAAGGTATTGACATTTCGACGTGCACAGGTTGGCTATTTCGCCAATTTTGTGGCATACCCCATGGATATTCTCTAGTGGCATTCGCGAGTTCTTGGGACACATTGGTTTGCCTAGCCACATTTTCGAGTACAACAGGGGGTGATGTTGCCCCCCTTGTCACAACAGTCACGTTATCTGGGTTGGGATTTACGTGTTCTACATCTACTTGATTATCATTATTCCTATTATTAGACGTAGACATGGTTCTTCCACTCCTAAGTCTCATACAACATATATACCTAACACTAGTTCAGTTATGTTTGTCAATTAAACGGGTCCCATCGGGCGTGCCAATTTGTTTACGGTGGAATTAGTTCATGGATTCTTTTTATTCAAACTAGCACAAGAAGTGTTTCAATTTAGGTATTTGACGCTTTTATGAAGAACAAGAGATGGAGTAGAAAGATTCAATAATTACTCGTTTCCAAATATTCGCCAATGATTAACAAACAATAATGTTCATGCATATAAATCCTCAAATAAACCAAATGAACGATAAATATATTTGCAATACAAATCATGGTTCACTTCACATAACATTCAAGAGTTACAATATTAAAGTTCTATAACTGCGTGATTAAAAGAAGAAAAGAAAACTACACTAATCCTAATCCTAAAAAGAGAAAAGAAATGTGACCGAGAAATGATCATACCTAGAAGCAATTCCATGCACGAAATCCATATGCGCAGGCAGTGAGTGCTAGAGAGTTTCAAGTATGGTGTTTCCGACCCCCGTGAAGGTACATAACTCTCGTATTTATAGAGCTAATCAAGAGCGGTTAATTTTTTGTATGTACGTCATTGGAAAATAAATGCTATCCACTATGCTTAGTACGTGGCTTAAGATGTAACTTCTCGTAACCGTTCATCCCACGTTTCGACTTTCTCGATTCGACCCTTAATAACCACCTTGGTGTGCCTTAACTGTCAGAAACCTCCAGTAACTACCCTTCACTTTTTCGAGTCACTCTCGAGTATGCATGTTTAAAATTTCTGATGTTCCTCCTTGGTAGGTGTTGTATCAGTCAATTCTTTCGAGTGACAAACTATCTTTCAAGTAGCCCTAACAAGACTTAAACTGAACTTTTATAAAGGAAAAAAAATAAAAAGATATTTTTAGTGATATATATATATATATATATATTCATTAATGATGTATAATTATGCATGTATTTGGTAAAATTAGTTTATAAGTTGATTAAAAATTTATAAACAAAGTTATGAGCTGAAAATTAAAAAATTTACAAGTTAATTGACTTAATAAAAAATTAGTTGATAAGAAGTAGATATAATATATTTGAAGTTTAAGTTTTACTTATATAAAAATGAAATGGCTCAAATTTGTCTCATATATTCAAATTTAATTTATATTTTTGTTTGAATAGTGTTGGCATTCAATCATTAATAAGAACAGTCATTAACTTAACTTTATTTTTGTCGAACTAGATTAGTTTAAGATGATATCTTAGAATACAAATACAAAATCAAAAAGTTTATTCTTCAGTTGTTTAAATTTTTTGAATTTTAGGCTCGTCTTATTTATTTGTTTATGACTTTATTAGTTATAATTTTTTTTATTTATATTTATCTTCAACTAATAGTTTTTTTAATGTAGTATTTAATCGATGCTTTTATGCTAATAAAAACATTAAATTCGTAATAAAAAATAACTTTGTATTCATGAAGATGACGCGTAAAATTAGAGATAAAATCTTTGATGATGAAAATGGTACGTGGACTTTTTAAAACAAATATATACTCATTCATTTAAAGTACAACTCTTCAAAACTGAAATTAAGTAAATGGTAATAT